CGCTCGTCGAGGCCATGTGGGCTGGAAGCGGAAGCGGACTTGCCCGGGGTCGGCCCGCTGCCCTGCGGAGCCGCGTGGAGGGACCGGTTCCCGCGGCGCGTATTCTGCCGGGGCAGAGGCTGCCAGTTGTGCGGGCTACCTGGGACAGGTGGGCACACCGGAAGAAGAGGGCCGCCCCAGCCGAGAGAGTCGCCGCTGCCGCAGCTTCCGGCAGGGCTTTGGTGTCGGGTCGCGGGGGGCTCCAGGGCCGGTAGTTACTCTGGTCCCGAAGGGATTGAGGGTCGGAGGAGACCCACTGGGCTTTGAGGAGTGGGTTGCCTGGGGATGGTGGGAGTAGAAGAGAGGAAGAATATAGGTTCCAGCTCCACCTCTGTCCTTGTGTTTTACTACCGCGCTTTGACACTTAAGCAACTTTGGGGATGAGGACGGAGAGGGGTCTGTGGAATTCATTCTTTTCCTTCGGCATCCAAAATTTTTAATTTGGAAAACCGTAAGTTAACGGTATGAGTCGCATTTTGCATTTACTGAATTTCCCTGAGTGGAAAATTCAGTTTTATTAAGAGTTAAGGCTGTAGTGTCTTTTAATAAGTTTTGTGCAGTGGAGCACACCTAGCATTGAATGGGGTCCTGGTTGAAACTGTGCTCATGTTTATGTTTACTGAAAAGTACTAGTATTCCGCCTGCATTTTGATACTCAGAATTTTGGCTGGGTGGCAGTGATATGACTCTTAGTTACAGTCCAGGTTTGTTGAAGAGAGACGCATGAATATTCAAGTATTAAATTGGTAGTTACCTGCGGGGAGAAGAGCACGAACAGAGTCTGAAGGTCTGGTCAGGGTTCTGTCCTCCCCAGTTACTGTGCGATCTTGATTTAGTCACGTTACCTAACCTTTATGAACTCTTGTTCCACCACTCTACAGAGGAGAAATGATTCTTTTACTTACATATTTCACAAGGTTGTTTTGAGGCCCAAGTTATTCAATGAATGTGAAATGCTGGTAAAATGTAAGGCATTTTTTAAGGCCACCAGTACGATGTAAATACTGCCATATATGAAAATAATAAATGAAAACATGAAACAACAAATACAAATAATATAAATATTTAAATACAAGATATATGAATATAAAACTATATGCAGAATAAACATAAAATCCTCAAGTCACACTTGTAGATATGCCATTTTAAGAGATCTTAGCTATGTTGTATAGGTCTTGTTTTTAGTTAGGATTTGATCCTTGACCTTGTTAGTATCAGTTGGAAAAAGTTGCACATGGAGGTATGTTGCTCATTCTAAAAATAGCAGTGGGACTACTCCACATACTAAACTTGGTATGAGTCCTTTTGTTTTTTTAAAATAATTTTCAAATTCTAGTTTTTTGAGGCCTATGTGGGACCTGGACTTAAAAAAACACAGTAGTTTCCTTTTGGAAATTGTGTAACATCTGAGTAGAATAATGTAATTTACTTTCCTAAAGATTAGGTGGCATTTTGTAATGCCGAATGAATTCATATGTACAGACACTTATCTGTTGAGATTTTAAAAAGATACTATGAAACCATATTCATTAAACATAGATGATATTCCGTTAAGCATGGTATTATTCAGTAGAACGAACATTGGCTCATTGGGATCTGTGGAAAAATTCAACACATTTTTGAAAACCTAAGCAGAGTTTGTTTAGTTATTTTAAAATAATTGAAGTTATTTTATATTCATGTTGGATTCTACGGGTATATTTCTGGTACCATTGCTATACCTGTAAGTTAAACATATCCCAAGTTGCTCTCACAGCTATCTCTCTTCATTCCTATTACAATCTCCCACGGCCAGTTTTTAAAATTTCTTACCAAGTCAGTTGTCGTGGTGTCTTAATTCATCTTCCTACTGTAGTTTCCCCATTGTGCAAACAAACACCCACAAAAAACCATCCAAATAAAACCTTATGAACAGAAGTTATTTTCCCCTAGCATTGCACAGTTCGTTTATGCTTACCCTCCACTCGTAACAAATAGTTACCATTGCTTACGGGATTCTAGTCCCATCAGGGAACCTCTTTGGAGTCCAGCTTATTTTCTCTTGCTCTCATCAGAGGCTGGCTTTCTTTCATCCAAAATGTCACCTGTCTTCTGAAATCATAGCTATTCTTTCAGTCTCAATTTGAGACTTTGATCAAATCACTAACTTTTCATAAGCCAGTTTCCACATCTGTGATGAAAGTAGGGCTTCTCCTTGCTACTTTGATCTTCTTCACTAGGATTGGTGGTCTTTCTTTATTGCTTGCTCCTTTGGTCCCTAGAGTGGCTGTCTGGCCAGCTTGTCTTTAGGAAAAAAAAAGAGGCCATAACAGAAGTAAGCCTTTCCCAGTTACTCTGTCACACCACCTTGTTTATTTCCTCTAGTATTTTATATAATCTAATTATCTCATTTTTTTACTTTTTTTTTTTTTTTAACGCCTAAGGGACCTGGTCTTCCTAGGTGGTCTCCCATCCAAGTACTAACCAGGCCCGATCCTGCTTAGCTTCTGAGATCAGATGAGATCAGGCACGTTCAGGGTGGCATGGCCGTAGAGTGTTTTCTTATTTATCTGTTTTTCAGTCTCTGATTTAGGTGAGCTTTATGAATAAGCTGTCTTGTTCACTGCCCTATCCTAATTTTTCAACACAATGCTCTTTATGCAGTAGTTGGTCAAATGTTTGAATCAATGAATAAGTGTATCAAAAGGCAGAATAGAGAGGTAAACGGCCTCATTTGAATCACAACTCCATCATTTACTAGCTTTGCGATGGGCAAATAACCTGTTTTCTGTTACATCTTTTTAAAACGGGGCTATTATAGTACTTTTCTCAGGGTTTTAGTGAAGACTAAATATTTAGTGTATGTAAAACAGCACATTAGCAAACTTAATCACCGTCAGCTGTTTTTATTATACATCTGTGTTTTATGCTGAAAAAGGTAGAAATATTTTTATCTAAATGCTTTATTCTAAGAAAAGTTTTGGTTCTTTAAGTGAGTAAAACCCATTTTACTTTAAAATTCAGCTTTTTAGGAGTTCCTGATGTTTGATGGTATTTGTTAGAAGTGTTCATTCTTATTTAATAGTAGTTCACTAATTTTAAAAGTAATTTAGTAGTTTACTCCTAGTTCCTAGGAGTTTGTAATACTTTTTGTTTTTTTGAGAATGGAGGCTGTGTTTTACTCATTTTTGTGTTTCTCTAAGTGCCCTGCACACAGTAGACACTTAGTTCATTAAATGAAAGAGAGATAGATGGGCTTGAAAAAGAAAGCAAGGAGCATTCAGGCCTTCAGTTTAACAGCCCGGGGCAGATGCTATCTTGCCCTTAAAGGAGCTGAAAAGGACCTGAGTGGTTTGCAACCAGTGTCATGCATAAGAACTTAAAAGGTAGTATAGTGCAAGTGAAAGGATACTGACCTGGGTTTAAACCGTTTGCTACCATGTCCTTGGGTAAGTCATCTAATTTTGTGAGAGAGGGCTAATGGTACATCCTCTTTATGGAGTTTCGGGGGCAGTGATTAAGAGAGCCTGCAAAATGCCTTGCACAGTATTCAGTAAGTGGTTTTACTTTGCATATAGCCTCCTGCCTAATACGGTTGCAGTCAGTTATAAGGAGGGTTTAAAAGTGTTTAAAAGCGATATTTATCAATGTTTTGAACAAATTCTTGCAATAGTTTCTTATAAAGAAGCAGTGGCAAGGCAAGGTGATTAACTAACTGGATGTCCAGGAAGAAAGTGAGAGGCTAGGCATCTTGCAGGAAGGATTGCCCTAACAACATGTAGCATCTTTGAAATGCAACCCTGTCCTCTGAAACTCTCTCTCCTTTAGTGATAGAGTTCTAGACATTGAAGCGTGTTTCTGGAACTCATCATCAAATATTACTGTATTATACTTTTTCTATTTATAGAGATTTTCTTTAAATTCCTCACATTACTCATCACACCTAGATATTGCTGTAAGTTAAATGATTGGGTACAACTGTCGTCTCATAAATGAAAGGTAGAATGAAGGTATAGAAAGGTTATGATTTTTAAACAAAAATAACTGCTAATATATTTACTGTAGAAAAATTAGGAAGTACAGGTGAAAAGTTACTCTGATAATTTCTGTGAAGTTTTTGATGTGCATTTTTACAAACATTTTATATACATTAATATGCATATCATTGCATATGTTTTCACAAAAATGTTACCATAATATAATCCTAGGGAAATTGGCCAGTCTTTTGCTCTAACTAATATATTGGGAGTGTCTGTCATAGCTGCATTTAGAGTATCCTTTGTAATGGTTGACTTGTATGCTATGTTATAGATATATTGTCCTTTATTTATTCACCTGTGGTTGAATTTAGTTTATTTCCAATGTTTAACTGCTATTTAATTACTCTTCAGTAAATGTTCCTGTACATTTTAAATCATTTTGATTTACTCAGGGTCATAGAATAATGGTAGGACTGGTACATGAACCCAGGATTGAACCATCCCAAGCTGCTAGCAATTCTCACATTGTAGTCAGTGGTTTTTTGTTGGTTTGAGGACCTTCTGGTGGTCAGTGGAGATCTCCTTTTACTGACATGCTTATATTATAAATACTTAATATTGAGGTTTTGGAATGAATTATACTTATATTCAAATAGGCCTTGTAAAAAGCAAGCTTCATTTGGTTGGCAGGTGATCAAAAGTTGAGCAGATCTTTAACTCTGAGTTACTTTTTTGGGGTTCTGAGGGCTGTTGGAAGTTTGTGTATCTTGTATGGTTCATATAGTTTGTGGATAGAAGTTTTAGTCACTTTTTCTTGAGAGCCTTTTTTCAGGTTTGGCATACTTGCAGAACTTTTA